TGTGCCATCTACCTTTTATCACCTATAGATTCACAACTTACTATAAGTACTCCATTCTTTTAGGCATTTCTTTTTTACAGTAAGAAATTAATGAATGTAATAAGTAAAGGTCATGAAAATGGCAGGCAAGAGAAAATGAACAACCACAACAATGAAGGCAACAATGATGGCAGTGTTGAACATAGAGAACGATGCTACATCAACTTAAAATTGTTGTAACTGAAACACAAAATATTAAGTTAGTAAAGCAATGACAAAAGCATAGGATAGGATGTTGAATATTTTTGTCAAACTTTTGCTATGTATGTGCACAGGAATGTCAAACTTATGCTTTTGACAATTTCATTTCGAGTGTGTGCACAGATGATGTGTGCTTGCACACTTATGTCAGACATATGCATGTTGAAATTTATTTCGCATTTTATCACGATTGTGTGCACACTTCCTTTCTGTGCTAACATCTGAATGTCTGATTCAGTTTGTGCAAGTTGCATTTTTTCATTATCTACTAAGATTTTTTTTTTTTTTCTTATTTGATGTGCTGTCATGAGGACCACTTACAGGTGTCCTAAAATCCTCAAGTGGTCCAAAGGATTAGCTTTTTTCCCATTTTAGTTCTGGTCCCAAAAGTTTGGTGAAATCTTTTCCCTTTTTGGACCAACTCATGTCAACCTTTGTCTGCTGACTTGGCAAGAATTGTTGAGCAAGAAATATCTCTATATTATCTTCATTCTTGTGTCTCTTTGGTGCTCTGAACTTTTCAAAGAGTTGTTTTCTTGGTCAGGTTCATTTTTATGGGTTTGTGGTAAAACCATTTCGTTTATCTTCTTCGTTGAATGGCCAGTGGAACGAGGTTCTATTGTTGATGCTGAGCATGTCTTTAGGGTGTGAAGCTTGGAAGGAGCTCAAGCTTGTCTGGGAGATCGAGTTCCTGGTGTGTGAAGCAATCCAAGAGTGACGAAGCATTAGGGAATTAGAGGGTGATGTTTAGTGTATTGTAGAACAGAGAATTCTCTTTGCTATATCTAAAATAAACTCTGAGTATTTTCTTGTAATGTTTGATGTTATAGTGGATTAGTTTCGATCTGGACGAGGTCCCATGGATGTAGGCTAAGAGTGGTTTTAGCCAAACCATGTATATGTTTGTGTTCTTTACGTTTTCTTTCTTATGGTTGTTGATTCACCCTTAACTTGATAATATTTAATCAACATGGTAAAAACATTTCCGCTGTGCTATTAAAAATGGGTACCTAAACGTTTAATAGAGTTCAGTAACTCTAACTAGGAGATTAGGCAAAACAAAGCATCATGTGTTCATTAGCTAGCCACAAGACATTAACTGCAATACAGTTGACAAACTCAAAAATATTTGAATGCTCAATGGCATTGAGTAACAAAGGATATACACATAAAATACTTTTTGTGGATGCAAAACAACTAAGTTCATCACATTTTGGAGTTTGGTGTTTGGTTTTGTCCCATATATATCAGTTATAAGTTTCTGAAGAAAGACACTAAGACTGTTTGATGGAGTAACCCATTCACCTTCTTAAGTCCAATGCGCGACTCAATAGAAGTATAATCTGAATTACCTCAAAACCTTCAAATGTAACAGATTGATTTTTTTAAGTCAATTTGCAGGCTTCACGAGTCTACCCAAATTCAAGTCTGCACAATAAAAACGTACATAACTCTTAAAATATTTTGTCAAAAGGACATAATTTTAGACGGCAATATTCAGTTCATTTGCTGAAGTGGGATGTTGCATAAAAATATAAAATTGAAAGCTGATGATGACACAATTTGCTCAAAAAATTCTCAGTATATAAACAAAGTTAATGGAAAGGAAAACATTTTTTACGTCATAATCAACTCAAAGTGCGAGATAGGAATAAAAAATGAAAAAAAAAAAATGACTGATTTTAGAGTTTTTCATATCAAGTCTTTACAACTCCATCTCAAGCTATGAGACCATCACACTGAAAAATGAAAACTTCTTAGGGTGCGTTTGTTTTGCAGAATTCTTTATGACTTAAAAGATAGGATTATTACTGAGATAGATTACCTTGAAGATTATAAAGGAATGTTATATTAATATGTTTGATCAGATTGATGAGTATAAATAATTAATAACTATCGAAGGGTTTACTGAATTGCCCTTCCTTGTTAATATTATTATTATTATTATTATTATTATTATTATTATTATTATTATTATTATTTAGAACATTATTTTTAAACCCCCTACATTTGAGAATTTAGCTAAAACACCCCAACAACAAAAGTTTAAAATTTAACAAAATACACTTGGCCACCCAAGACGACTGTCGGCTGTCAACCACCACAGTCGACAATAGTCAAAATGGCGCATGACTGACCAAATCTGGCTGGTCGTGTGCTGATCTGGTCATGGCCAGATCGAAGGCTCAAAACTGCCAAGTGGCCATGGATCTGGCTGGAAGGCCAAATCCATTCTAGTCATTAATGGCCAGATCTATGGTCATTAACAGTCGTGGATCTAGTCGTTTCCGGCCAGTTCCAAGGCCATCTGGCCATTTCTAGCCGAAAACGGCTAGATTGACGTACGACCAACCAAATCCGACTAGTCGTGCCCCGTTCTGATGACTACTAGTGGCGGCTGACGACTGACAGTTGTCTTCGGTGGCTAGGGTATTTTGTGTATTATTCATGTAAAAATTGAGGGTATTTTTGTCTAAAAAAATAATATATGAGGTTAAAAAAGTCATTTCACACATTTTGGCTAATTGTTATTTAGTAGACATATGAGGGCATTTGTGTCCAAAATGTTTATTAATTAAGGGTAAAATTGGTATGACTAGTTGATTACTCCTGTAAGGAAAAATAATACTATCCCAGATGGTAATCGAATTACCCCTGTTTTTACCTACAGTAACCACTATAGGCATTGAAAGTTTACCGTAATCTTTCATTACTTGACACCCAAACATACTAATTTCTAGAAAATAAGATAGATTACTGGTGTTATCATTTATGCCCCCAAAACAAATGCACCCTTAGTTCTTTCTCTTTTCTTTTGTCCACACAAATTTTATTTATTTTAACAGAAGTTGGCTAAATGATCTTAATCTTAGTCGCACCTAACTAATTAGGCTTCATAGATGAGTCTTTTTGTTATTTGAAACTTCGTCGTGCAACGTCTTTTACACTTCAATGTTTATTTTCTCCTTTCTTTTGGTCTTTCATATCCCAAGTTTCCTATCTTCAATACATTAATGCCACATACCAAACCATGCCATGATGCCAATTGAATTAATTACTAGTAAATGAATGACTATTTGTGTTTGAGAGTAAAAGAGGTCTAAATGTGTAATAGATGTAAACAGAAAAAGTTTGACTCTGTTGTTTGACAAATTTTTCTTTTTCTCAAAAAAGACTTGAAACAAAAAAGGTTCTATGAGCTAATATTTAAATCGCGCGTGCCTATTATCTCTTGCAAAGTCTCATTTGTCATCCCATGTAATTTAATTTAAGTTGACCTGAAAATCTACTCATCGTATTACCAAACCCATGGTAAAGCTGAAAAAATCATAGCATCACTGAATATTTCTTCCTAGAAGATCTATTTCCAGCGTCACTAAAACCCAATCAGTAATCACTTGGGCAGTAATGGACTCCGGATTTGGCTCTAATGGGGCAACTTAGAAAAATAAAAATAAAAATAAACTTAGATTAAAAACCCAAAAATTGAACTTTTAAATACATTAAATTTTGTTAATAAATCTTTATATAAGAGATATCGATGTGTTTATATCATAGTGTTTGATCGATAACCAAACGCTTTTTAAAATAAAAAATATAGTTGAAGTGTTTTTTGAAATAGAAGTGCTTGATATATAAATTTTTTTTAATTGTTAAATTGTAAAAGTACTTAATAGAATACTGTAAATATAATCGTACGGCTTATAACAAAAGCGTAATCTATTAATCCCTACGTTTTATTTTATTCTTTGTTTTTTTTTTTAAATGATTAACATACTAATATTGCCGACGTGCACGTTGCTAATTCGAACACCTTGGTTACAAAAAAAAAAAAAATACCAATATTATGCTATTGATGTTTTCAATACTAATTAACTAATTAATACTACTATTTTAATTATATTAAAATAATTTAAACAAAAGAGATGAAAAAAATTAATTTGGGAACCAAAAAATGCAAGGATTTTTTTTCTTGACTACAAATAAAATAAAGGAGTGTATATCAGTGATTAGGAACCCCACCCAACCCAACCAGTTCAACCGAGACTCGAGGCCTTCAACAAGTTGGATTACAAATTTTCCTATTGATTCAAACCCTAGAAATTAGGACATCAATCCGTGAACAATTGAAAGTTGGAATGTTAGGACTTTTGAAGAGAAATGGCCGATGAGTGTAATGGTGGCGACTTAGGTGATTTCCGGTGAGTGAATCGACTGAAAATCGCAAAAATAAGTCACTGGAAAAAGCCTACTGTTGTTGGCAATTAGGGAGGCTAACAGGTGAGGGGTGAGATAGGTTTTGGTCAGGAGGCTGAGGGGAATGTTTTCATGGTAATGGAGAGTGTTGTCGTTGCCAGAAATAGCCCCTATTTGCCGACACTGACGATGGTATTTAAGGTATTTTTACAAGATTTCAAACTTATAGGGATTTATAGTTATTTTTAATGGTATTTTTGTTAGATTTCAAACTATTAGGCACCGGTTTGACCTGCTGGTAAAACTGGTTGAGCTACTCAACCCAGGTGGCCTAGCCGTGTCACTATACGAGTTGGGTTTCAAAACATTGGTGTATATTGTTAAAATATAAAGTACAAGGTAACTTTCATGCCCCCACCGAAACCCTTAGTGGCTCCGTCCCTGCCCCCAAGGGCAAATCATACCCTCTGCCTCTTCTTTGCTGGAATTCTTACTGTTACACTCCTTTACACACCTATCTATAAAAGGAGTATTTACTATTAGGACCTTAAATTTTATCCAAGATGCTCTTCATGAAAGCAATTCTCGTACTTCTTTTGATTCTAAGTACAGGTCAAGCAACTATGATGGGTCATAACCGTCATCGTCACCACTCTTTTCTTACAGACAAGGCTGCTCTTCTGGCATTCAAAAGCATCATAAAATTTTATCCGAATTGTACGGTAACTGGCTGGGGGGAAGATGTTGATGTATGCAGCTTCAGAGGTGTCAGCTGCAACAAACACCGTTTACGTGTAGTTCAACATATTCTACCAGATTGTGGACTATCGGGACCCCTCTCACCCTTTCTTTCAAATCTCACTGGCCTTCGAGTCCTAGAGCTCTATAACAATTATTTTTCTGGAGTCATTCCACCTGAATTTTCGCATCTCAGACACCTCGTTTATCCCCAGCTAGATGAGAACAACTTACAGGGTCCAATACCAGAGTCCTTTGCTCTACCTTCTAAACTCCGTATGGTAACTCTTTCATCTAACAATTTGACAGAAGCACTTCCACCTTCCTTGTTCCGCAACTGCACTTCACTAAGACTGTAGACCTGTCCGACAACTTTTTCACGGGAAAAATTCCACAAGAATTAGGAAATAGTCCACATCTATGGTCCCTCAATTTATACAACAATCAGTTTGTAGGGCAGCTTCCTCCATCTTTGGTAAATACTTCAATGTATAATTTGGATGTGGAGACAAATAATCTTTCTGGTGAGTTGCCTTAGATATCTTGGGGAAGCTGCCTTCACTTGAATATCTCCAATTATCATATAACAACATGATAAGTCATGACAACAACAGCAATCTCGACCCCATCTTCACCGCCCTGGAAAATTGCACAAGCTTAGCTGAGCTTCAGTTGGTTAGCATGGGCCTCGGAGGAAGATTGCCCAGTTCAATCAGCCAACTTAATATAGCGACAATGTTGCTGCAAGAAAACAGAATCACTGGATCAATTCCTCCGAATATAGCAAATCTTACCAATCTAATGTCATTAAATTTGTCTTCTAATCTTCTCAATGGAGAAATTCCGGCAGAGATTAGTTGGTTGTCGAAATTGGAGCAGCTTTTCTTATCACACAACCTATTCTCCAGTGAAATTCCAGCAGCAATTGGTCAACTTCCTCATCTGGGTTTGCTTGATCTATCATACAATAATTTCAGTGGTCCTATACCGGAAAGTCTCGGAAATTTAGTTCAGTTGAATTATCTCCTTCTCAACAACAATTTGCTTTCAGGATCAATACCGCGAACTTTAGGACAGTGCATAGATCTGTACAAGCTAGACTTATCCTACAACAGGTTGACTGAGAGACTTCCCCCAGAAATTTCGGCTATTCTTGCTATCAGAATAGTTATAAACCTGTCACATAATCATCTTGAGGGGCCATTGCCAATTGAGTTTAGCAAACTGGAAAATGTTCTAGAGATGGACCTTTCATCAAACAAATTCACTGGAAATATCTTAACTCGGATATCAAGCTGCATTGCATTGACGTTGTTAAATCTATCTCACAATGCTCTTGAGGGAAACCTTCCAGATTCTCTGGGTGATCTGAAGAACCTGGTATCACTCGATGTTTCAGAAAACTACTTATCCGGTATGATCCCAACAAGCCTCAGCAAAATGTATACCCTTACCTTCATCAATCTTTCTTTCAACCAGTTTGAAGGTATGATTCCCTCTGGAGGCATTTTTGATTCAGTAACAAATATGTCGTTCTTAGGGAATGAAGGTCTCTGTGGGGCAGTTCTCAACGTGCCCATTTGCTCTCCAAAACGACATGGACTCCATTCACCTATATTCCTGATCCTATTCATCCCAGTCATATGCATATCAGCATTGTTATCAGCAACATTTTGTGTGCTTAGGCTCCGCGGCATCAAAGTTATAACTCCCTTGGCAAAATCTGAAACGACAAGGAAGCATACAACACTAGAATTAAAGCAAAATTTTCGAAGAATTACATACAGACAATTGTCACAGGCCACTGCAGGGTTTGATGCGCAGACAATAATTTGTACAGGTAGCTATGGACGTGTATACAAGGGAATTCTTTCAGATTGAACAGCAATAGCAGTCAAGGTGTTCCATTAGCAATCTGGAAACTCTGTGAAGAGTTTTGATAGAGAATGTCAAGTTTTGAAAAGGACTCGGCATAGGAATCTGATAAGGATTATAACTGCATGTAGTCAACCTGATTTTAAGGCACTTATTCTTCCTTACATGGCAAATGGGAGCCTGGATAGCCGTCTTTATCCACTTCCTGGGACAGTTTTGGGTTCCAACTCCTCAGATTTGACTCTCATCGAGATGGTGAATATTTGTAGCGACATAGCTGAAGGGATGGCCTATCTGCATCATTATTCTCCTGTTAGAGTCATACACTGCGATTTAAAGCCAAGCAATGTTCTTCTCAACGATGAAATGACCGCTGTGGTTTCTGATTTTGGGATTGCAAGGTTGGTTATGCCAGTTGGAGCGGACAATACAGGGGATGTTGATAACATCGGAATCTCTACTGCTAATATGTTATGTGGTTCTATTGGATATGTAGCACCAGGTATAGACATTTGCTATGCTCCTACCATTTTGCTAAAAGCATTTGTAAATTGAGGCATTCCTCATAAAAACTTTTAGGTTTCAAAACGAATGGAAAATTGAGTCATTCCTCACTGTTCGTATTTTTGTCTATTCAGAATATGGAATCGGATCTAACACCTCGACAAAAGGAGATGTTTATAGCTTTGGAGTTCTAGTCCTGGAGAACTGACTGAATTGGGTATTCTATGCACACTGGAGTCCCCCTCTGCTAGGCCTACAATGCTAGACGCTGCTAACAACTTGGATCGCCTCAAGAGATGCCTAAGTGATAACACAGCTTCCTCCTCTTCCAGGATTTCTTCTTCCACTCCACACGGTGACTAACGCTTTCCCTATTTCTAGTACTACATTAAATGGCATAAGTTAGGTACAATGCTTTTGAATAAAATTTTCTTAAAGTTTGTTTTACAAACCACCATAGAACTGTTGAATTTATTCTGGAGTTTCATAACAACCAGCGGAGGTTGTCTGGGAATTTTATTTACATCGCCACATTGGATTGATTTCTCCAGTTTTTTAGTCTAAATCACTTATTTGTCATGGGGCACGCTAAATTGCCTAAGGTCCAAAACTCTCTATCATATAGGCAGATAACAAAGAGAAACTACAAATTTTTTTTAATCAGACAATTATTGAAGTTTGAAAGATATGATTACATCTGCTTTCTAATAAAGGGGAAAAACAAAAACAAAAAACAAACCCACAAACACAAGCTCTCTCTACAAGCTCCAGCAAAGTTCCAAAAGAACCAGAGATAATCAACTAAATGCATACACCTTTCTACCTCTCTTTGGCCTCAGGAGATAATATCATTTCCCTCCAAAATAAAAAAACAACTTAAGTATTGATACAGAAGTGGCGTAGTGCACACCCTGGCTATAATGCCGGAGGGATCTGTACTTTAGACCACAAGACCGTATTTCTAGTTATGTATAACGATGAGTAGGTTATATATGATGGCAACCACTGCCATAAGACTGAATTCAATATTCATTTGCAATTGAATCCCAAGTGCCAAATAAACTACAGGGAAAGAAAAGGGAAATGAGGTGAGAAAAATAGTTCCGCTCAATTGAAAATGATAAAACTGTGTCTAACAACTTCCTATAAAACTCAATTTCTAGGCTTCACCAGTCTAACTTAAATTCAAGTCTGCATAAAAAAACTGATAAAACTCTTTAAACATTTTGTCAAAAGGTACCATAATTTTATATGGCAATATTCAGTTCATTTGTTGAAGTGGGTTGTTGCATAAAATATAAAATTGAAAGTTGATGATGACACAATCTGCTCCAAAATTCTCAGTATATATGCAAAATAAAAGGAAAGGAAAACACTTTTGTTACGTCATAATCACAACTTAAAAGCTCGAAATAAAAAATAAAATAATGGGCATTTGGTTATGAGAATATTGTATTACCAAAAAAAGATTAACTGTGAAATAGATTACCTTATAAATTAAGGGGCATGATGTTTGGTTAGATTTATGGGCATAAATAATTAATATGTTTGGCTGGGTGGAATAAAAGAATTCCGGGAGACCCTTTTACTGAATTGACCTTTTTTAAATATTATTATAATATAATTATTATTTTATTATTTAGATTATTACCTTTAATCCCATAAATTTAAGAATTTAGCTAAAATACCTCAGTCAAAATAAAAGTTTAAAATTTGACAAAATACCCTAACCACCCAAGACAACTACCGTTCGTCAACCACCACTGTCGACTGCTATCGGCAATCACTAGAACGACCCATGACCGGTCAGATCTACCCAGAAATAGCCATATCCATGATTGTTTTTGGCCAGATCCATGGATCTAGCCTTTTCTTTTCGACCAGATCCATGGATTTGGCCAGAAGCGACTAGATCAGTGCATAGCCGCCACATTCTGACTGGTCATGTGTCATTTTAGCGACTACCAACAAGGGCCGGTGGCCGTCCTAGGTGGTTGGGATTGTTTGTTTAAATTTTAAACTTTTATTTTGACTGGGATGTTTTAGCTAAATTATCAAATATGAAGGGTTAAAAGTTATTTTTTACAGTTGGGCTAATTATTATTTGATAGACATAGGAGGGCATTTCTGTTTGAAATTTTAATTAATTAAGGGTAAACTGGAAACAAAAATTTGATTATTCCAGTAATCTTAAATAACACATTTTCTTAGATAAACAGATTATCCCTAATATCATCAATAATAATTATTATTTGTATTTGAAGATTACCTGAATCTTTTATTACCTAACAATCAAACAAGATGCCATCAGATTTTAGGATAGATTACCATAATATTCTTTTCCTACCGCTAACCAAATGGGCCCTAAGGCCCTAAGGGTTTTATTTTCCATCCCCCCGTCAAATATAAAAGTCTCAAATGGCATAACGATTATTGAAAATTATCGAATATCCCCTCGTCTAAATAAAATAAAATTTTATAGAGACCCTTAAACTTTTCCTGTCTCCCCTTCCCCTTTTTTTTCCTCCTTGAAATGTCGCAACCGCCGCGCCAAAAGCCTTTTGGCTTGCCACATCTGCTTGAGGCTCTCGCATCTAGCCACTACCGTCGCCGTGAGAGCCTCACGTTTAGTTGAATATTGCCAGCACGTGAAGCCCTTGCGTTTGGCCATGCCCGTCTGGTTGTGGTTACCGTGTTTCTTCCTTGAGCAATCTAGTTTATGGACATTCTAGATTGCATCAATTCCACAAGTTTATGGTGAAGCAACAGTGTAGTAGTTCAATATTTTTGACATCTTAAGATTGTAATAGTGGTTTTGGGATCAAATCTTGGATAGAGATTTGGTTATATTTATAAATTTGAGAAAATTAAGAAGAAAATAAACAATGGAGTAATAGAAAACCTCTTTAGTTCATTAGCAAAGCTTAGGCTTATGAAGTTGCGAAAATGGCATTTGCTTGAATTAAAAAGTGATTCATTGTCGTGGATTGGGGTTGGGTTTGTGGCTGAGTTTGTAGCAGTTCTATGGCATTGTGTGTTGTTTGTTGTATGGTTGGCCGGATTGTGGTTATTCAGTGGTGGATAGAGGCTGAGTTTGTGGCAGATTGTGGCTTGAAGGGCTGCCCAATTTGAAGAAACCCAGATCGAAAGGGTTTCTTTGCAAGTTTGAAAACCAGCAGGGGTCTACAGGGGTCTCATTGCAGATTTAAAAACCTATAGGGCTTGACTAAAAGCTTTAATAGTATTAAAAAGTTTAATACAGATTTAAAAACTGTAACAGCGTCTTAGCGGCAAGGGTGATTTTAATAGTTTTCAATAATTGTTCTCCTCATAAAACTTTCATCTCAGAGGATTTTAATACTTTGATTAACCAAAAACAATATTTAAAACAAATGTAGAATTGGAATGAAAACTCACATATGTTATAAATGTGGATCCATCAAGGCGGTTTGCTGGCTCCTTGCCTCAAATCTATAGTGCTCAAATCCCCTTTTATTAATTTGCTGGCTGTGGCGGATCTAGGATTTTTGCCAAGGGGGGGCCTCCGCGACTCCGCTATTGTTTATCAAACAACTAGTGAAAATTTTAAAAAATACCAAACCTTAAGGAAAAATAATAATGCAATAACACAATACTTTCCTGTTTGAATAAATCAATGAGAAGCAAAATTTTGAGTAAATGTGTTGAGTAAACCTTGACCAAAACTTCTTTTAATTTTTTTAATTTTGGTTTCCAAAGATTATAATATAATTTTTTATGACTTTGATCAGACCTAATCTAAGCTAAAGTCAACCAAAACTTAAATCAAGTCAACGTTGCGTTGACTTTTCATATGAATTAACTAAAAAAGAGGGAATTTTCTTGGTATAAACAAATATAGTAACTCAAATTTCTTTAATAATTTTGAGCAGTTAAACGGTGACGTTTGAAATGTAGGAAAGTGATGGGTAAGGGTGAAGAATAATGCCTTTTAGAATATAGTTAAGGTTTTAATTTGGGAAAGCAGGTTCATTCTTAGACACAAAACAAAAAATAAACTCACAAGATCCATGTCTTTTTCCTTCAAATTAGAATAAAAAACCTCCAAAAAACAAGCATGATTCAACCCTAAAATAAACTAAATTGAAATAAGCAATATACATACCTAAAACTGATAAAACAGAAAACGAAGCTAATTGTGACACCTTGAGTAGTGAAAGCTTCAACAATTCCAATTTTGAAAAGTTTTAAAAGCGACTAGCATGAGAAAGAGAATGATAGAGTAAAGAATTTTAGGGATAAAATCATAAAAAGCTGGTGGAGAAAAAGAGTGGATAAAGTTTTAAATTTTTAATATGATGTGGGCTTGAAATGTATATATTAATAAAAAAAAATTTGTCGATCTAGATATAAGTATAATAGTTCTCATTTTTTTAAAATCTAAGGGTGGGTCTCGGTATATATATTAACAGCAATATTTTGTGGGTCTATATATTAATAATTTTTTATTTTTTTGAAGAGCCTACCCTCAAAGGGGTTGGATCCGCCCCTGTGATTGAGGATGTTCGGACTAGCTTGTTTGCACCTCAACTAATCCCCTAGGACCCTAGAACTATTGGCCATATAAGAGCTCCAATGGCCACCCTTATTAGCAGTCATGGACTCATAGGAACTCGGACTCGGGAGAACATGTTAAATCCTCCTCTTGCTCTTTTACCATTATTGTGTGTGATTTTTCCATCAAGGTCAGCGAGTTTCAAGGTATTAGATCGACCCAGGATCAGTCCGACTCTACCAATTGTCCGACCCAGCATAAGCTCATCGACATATAGCTCGACCCAGCACAAGCTAGTCTCGAGCAACCCGAATGATCATTCAATCGATTCTCAAATAACTTTAGATCCCAGATATTACGGGAATGATCCGATTAATAGCAATCTCTGTGCAATCACAGTGGCCAATCGCGAGAATATCGGAGTTTCATTTCAAATCAATTGTAATCCCTTTATTTTCGCTCTTTCCTTTGTACAAATATTGCATATAAACCCCCTCAAATGATGAAAAAAGGGGTTAGAAATTTTCCATAGAACTCTTATTGTAGGCTCTCACAGCAAATACAAGAACGGTGGACGTAGGCTCAAGAGTTTACCTTGCCGAACCACTTTAAAAATCTCATAGTCATTTACTTTATCGCATTTATCTTATATCCATAGCTGATTATCCGTAATCACGCCCATATCCGTTCCGATTCCACCAAGGTCAATCGGATCTCTCTGGTTGGTGCGAATTTTCGTATCAACATTTTGGCGCTAGAATGAAGGCCTCTACCAATATCTCAGAAATTTCGGTGAATAGCCACAATAACCTACTCAATCCAAGCTCGC